GTACTGGAGTGGGGTGCCACTGCCTTCTCCACAAGAAACTACTAGATGTCTTTAGTTCTTGGTTGGTTGTTTAGTTGCTAAGTTGTATCCGAATCTTTTGTGACCCCATGGACTGGACTGTAGCCCGCCAGGGTCCTCTGTCCAAGGGATTTCCTAGGCAAGAATACTGGAGTGGGTTGCCAGTTTATTTTCCAGGGGGTCTTCCTGAACCAGGGATTGAGCCCGCATCTCCTGCAGCTCCTGGCAGGTGGATTCCTTACCACTGAATCATCAGGGAAGCCCTGTCTTGACTCACAAGGAAAACACTTACTTGGGCTATCAAATGCCTTACACAACCCCTCTGGGGGTAATTAAACACTCAGGGACTTACCCAAATTTGACTATCAAATGATTGTATCTCATCATAATAGAGATGAGAGCTCTCACCTAAGCTGTTATAAGACAGAATGAGGGTTAATAAGAGCTTAAAAGACATAATTTGCTTACTACTTCAAGGCATAAATCTTTTAAAATATTTCATATACAAAATAGCATATGAGAGGAGTATAATTAACCACCTATTAGTCAGCTTCAAACATTACCAACTCATTACTAATTTTTCATTATTTAGAAGTAAATTGCAGATTTTCCAGGGGCACTAGTGGTAAAGAATCCGCCTACCAATGCAGGACGTAAGAGACATGGGTCTGATCCCTGGGTCTGGAAGATCCCCTGGAGGAGAGCATGGCAACCTGCTCCAGGATTCTTGCTTGGAGGATCCCATGGACAGAGGAGCCTGGCAGGCTACTGTCCTTTCATTCATAAGTAGTTTAGAAGTTATATTTAAAAGATAAGAATACCCCTTTAAAAATATAACCACAAAATCATAACATATAGAATGAAAAGTAATTTCTTATTATCATAAAAGATTGAGAAAGTGTTCAAATTTCCCTCATTGTCTCTCTTTTAAAAAATTATTTAGACAGGTTTTAGGTTTACAATAAAATTGAGAGAGAAGTGACAGGTATATGCCCTGTTCTCACACATGTGTAGCCTCCCCCATTATCAACATCTCTCACCAGAATAGTGCTTTTATTTTAAACCAGTGATGAACCTACATGGGACCTACATGGATACATCACATCACACAAAGTTCATGGTGTTTACCCTTGGTGTGAGTTCAGTGGGTTTGGACAAATGTATGATAATACATCCATCATTATAATAGTATCATATAGAATATTTTTACTCCCCTAAAATCCTCTGTGCTCTGCCTGTTAGTCTCCCCCAACCCCCTCCAGCAGCCACTCATCTTTTATTGTCTCCATAGTTTTGTCTTTCGGAGAACGTCATGTAGTTGGAATCATACAGCATATAACTTTTTCAGTTTGGCTCCTTTCACTTAGCTATATGCCAGTAAGATTCCTCCATGTATTTTCATCGGCTTGATAGCTCAGTTCTTTTTGGCATGGAATAATATGCCCTTTTCTGGATGTGCTATACTGTGCTTCATTGCTCAGTCGTGTCTGACTCTTGGCGATCCCATGGACTGTAGCCCGGCAGGCTCCTCTGTCCTTGGGGATTTTCCAGGCAAGAAACTAGAGTGGGTTGCCATGCCCTCCTCCAGAGGATCTTCCCAACCCAGATCTCCTGCATTGCAAGTGGATTCTTTACCGTCTGAGTCACAGGGAAGCCCAAGAATACCGGAGTGGGTAGCCTATCCCTTCTCCAGGGGATCTTCCGGACCTAGGAATTGGACCGGGGTCTCCTGCATTGCAAGTGGATTCTTTAGCAGCTGAGCTACCAGGGAAGCCTAATAAAGTATTTTAAAGCTAACATATTTCCTTTTTTGTTGTTGTTTTTTTAAGATATAATGCTATTGCACACTTAATCCGCTCAGTGTGTCTGACTGTTTGTGACACCATCGACTGTAGACCACCAGATTCCTCAGTTCATGGAATCCTCCAGGCAATAATACTGGAGTTGGTTGCCATTCCCTTCTCCAGGAATATCTCCCTGGAGATATTCCCAGCTCAGGAATTGAACCCCAGGTCTCCCACATTGCAGGCAGATTCTTTACCATCTGAGCCACCAGGGAAGCCGTGTCTGGATGTACCACAGTTTACTTAAACATTCACCTACTGAAGGACATCTTGGTTGCTTCCAAGTTTGGGCAAGTATAAATAAAGGTACTGTAAACATTTGTGAGCAGGTTTTTGTGTGGATGTAAGTTTCTGACTCCTTTGGTAAATACCAAAGAAAAAAATTGTAGGATTTTAAGGTAAGAGAAAGTTTCATTTCGTAAGAACCCTCCAGTCTTCCAGAGTGGTGATACCATTTTGCATTCCTACCAGCAATGGATGAGAGTTCCTGTTACTCCACATCCCTCCTCCACAGCATTTTGTGTTGTCAGTGTTCCAAATTTTGGCACTTCTAGGGGGTGTGTAGTGGCGGTAATTTGCATTTCCCTGATGACATATGATGTGGAGCATCTTTTCGTATGCTTACTTTCCATCTGTATATCTTCTTTGGCGAGGTGTCTGCCAAGATCTTTGGCCAGTTTTTAAATTGGGTTGTTTGTTTTCTTGTTGTTTCTCTTAATGTATAGGTTTTCTCTCTCGCCTCCAGATAGTCTTTTAAAGAATCTGAGCTGCTTGTCTGAAGTTTCTACAAGTTAGATTTTTCTTATTGTATTAATATCATTCTGTTTCCTGTCAATGAGTGGTTAGATCTAGAAACTTGATCAGATTCAGCTTCAGTTTTTTGTTTAGCAAGGCTCGTTCACAGGCAGTGAGGTAGTCTCCCACCAGGAGGCGCAGTTGCTCTCTGTCAAGGATGTCAACCTCTTCCTCTGGGCATTGATTAATTAACAAACTAATGTTTGCAAAATAGTAATATTCTAACTATGCCATCTATTCTTCCTTTATTAGGTTTTTATGATTTTTTAATAAATTTCTCCTTATCAACTATTTTGTTAATTTATGATTTATATAAAGAGGCCAGAAAAATGCTTGATTTTTCCTTTGCTTATTAGTTTTCAAAATAATGAGTTGGTTCCCTAACACCCCATGGACTGGAGTCACAAAGAGTCTTACACGACTGAGCGACTTCACTTTCACTTTCCCTAACACCATCAAAAAGTGACCAATAAGTTTTTTTTTTTAATTATAAAAAAATAGATTTTTTTAAAACCACAAATCATTTCTTAAATCATGTATGTAAATGTACCTGATATTTTTCATTCCATTGAAGTCACTATACTTATTGATGCTCAAATCATTCCATCTTTGACCAGTGTAAGTCTATTCAAGTTGTCTCCTCAATCATTTTGACACGACCCTGTTAGTCTTTAAAAACCTCCCTGCTTTCGGCTAAGATAAGGTGTTCCAGCCTTATTTTACACTTCCAACCCGAAACTGAAATTAGCTATTTCTACAAAGTGATGGTTTTCAAAGTGTGATTGGGGAGACTCTGGGAGTCCCTGTGATCCTATCATGGGGTTTGTGTGGTCACAATTATTTTCACAAAAATACTAAGATGCTATTTGCTTTTTTATACACTCTTGGTCTCACAAATATATACAGAGCTTCCCAAGGTTACATGACGTATGATATTATGATTGAATGTAGAAGCAGCTATAAGAATTTTGCTATCATTTATTAAGCCAGGCATTAGAGAAATTTACAATGGCACTCTTCTAAGTAGTTTTTGTTAACAGATATTTTGTTATTTTTACATGTTTTAATTTCTAATGAACTCTTTGGGGCCCCCTCACAAAATTTTAAGAATTTAAAGAGATTTATGGAACAAAATGTTTTGAGACCAACTACTTTAAGGAGCCTTGGTTCTTTTTAATGGAAGACAGTATTTAGAAATCACAATCTAGGAGCTATTCATGGTTACTGCCTTGGCCATAGTCTCTAGGCTGTTTCATAGGCAAATTCATATATATTACTACTGTCCTCCCTTTTTTGGATAAAAGGTACTATGTATACTTCTCTCCATGTAGCTTTTTTTTCACTGAACAATATATGTTTTCAAGCACTCACTTCATTGCGTTATTTTACAGTTTATTCAACTAGCCATTTGTTGAGGAATTTCCATATTTTATTATATATAGTGCTGCAGTGAACAATCTTGCACGTACTTTCACTACTATATCTTTAGGATAGAATTCTAGAAATGAGAATACCGGATCAAAGCGTGGATGTGCACAACTCTGCTATATATTGAGATTCTTTTTACTTCTACAGTACAGATGAAGGAAGGGCTTACCCCAGGAGCTGAGCGGTAAAGAATCCGCCTGCAATGCGGACCCCTGGGTCAGGAAGATTCCCCTTGAGAAGGGTATGGCAACTCACTCCAGTATTCTTGCCTGGGAAATCCCACGGACAGAGGAGCCTACAGTCCAAGGGGTAGCAAAAGAGTCAGGCACGACTTGGCAACTAAACAGTAACAGCAAGGGACATACAAGATGAAGGGACATACTGAGACAGCTGCTTGGGGTCACTTTTCCAGTCACTGACAGAAGACAACGTGTCTCCACAGGCTCTGTAGGTCAAGGGAAGAGGAATTCTAAGGTGGGAGAGCAAATAAAAGAGTTTTACACTTGGACGTCACATTCATTGAGTCACATATTCTCATTTTTTCAATATCCAGCACACCAGTTCTTCCTCATCAGAACCTCTAGTCCTCCGACCTCCCATACTCTTCAGGTAACTAAGCGCCCGCCGCCCCGGCCAGCTGGGCCCCGCCCCTCTGGGCCCCGCCCCTCTGGGCCCCGCCCCCGCCCCCGCCGCTTCTGGTAGTTTGGAACAGTAAAGCCGGCGAGGTGTGCAAGGCTTTGCGCATGCCCATCCACTGGTTGGAGTCGCTCGGAGGCAGGAACAGAGTGACGTTATAACGGCGCGCCGCTCCCAGGCGTCCTCGCAAGGTCGCTTTGCAGAGCGGGAGCGCGCGTAAGTGACAAGACCCTGGTTCGGGTGCGCGCCGTCTCCTGCTGCCTTGGTATCAGCAGCGACATGTCGGGGTATACGCCCGACGAGAAACTGCGGCTGCAGCAGCTGCGAGAGCTGAGAAGGCGATGGCTGAAAGATCAGGAGCTGAGCCCCCGGGAACCGGTGCTGCCTCCGCGGAGGGTGTCGCCTGTGGAGCGATTCTGGAATAAATTTTTGCAAGACGGAGCTCTCTGGAAGAACGTGGTGAGTGACCGCCCTCCCCAACCCCACCCCTACTCTAGTCCCATCGCTGTCCACGGCCTGGTTACTGAGACAACCTGCTCGGTGTAGCGGCACTAGGGACCGACTTGCTCTGCCCCCGGAAGTTCCTCAAGGGAGAGTCAGGTTCAGTCGAGACTTAGGCTTGTCTGGGACTCCGTCTGGTCCCAAGGGTCATGCGGTGGAAGTCAGGAGTTCGGAGCTTGTATGGCTTTGGGATTGTCCTGCCCTTTGGCTCTCAGGTGTGATGAGAAGGAGGCGAATCTTTGCCTAGATTATACAGGACGCTACAGGTTGGGCTTTTTTTTTGACTGCGGAAACCTTTCCTCAGAAGGATGGCCAAGGATTCACTAGAGTTAAAATCCAATGATTTTAGTATTCAAGGACACTTGTGTGATTTTTGAGGTTGAGATTACACAGACCAACTAACACTACATTCGACCCGAAAGCAGGATAAGCCTCTAGCTGGTAATGTAGCTTCATGTTAATTACTGTGAGAGGTCCTATTGATATGCTGTTGATAGCTGTGAAAAGAAGAGAAGCGAAAAGCAAAGGAGAAAAGAAAAGATATACCCATTTGAATGCAGAGTTCCAAAGAATAGCAAGGAGAGATAAGAAAGCCTTTCTCAGTGGTCAGTGCAAAGAAATAGAGGAAAAAAATAGAATGGGAAAGACTAGAGATCTCTTCAAGAAAATTAGAGATACCAAGGGAACATTTCATGCAAAGATGGGCTCAATAAAGGATGAAAATACTATGGACCTAACAGAAACAGAAGATATTAAGAAGAGGTGGCAAGAATACACAGAGGAGCTTTACAAAAGGGATCTTCATGACCCAGGTGATCACAATGGTGTGATCACTCACCTAGAGCCAGACATCCTGGAATGTGAAGTCAAGTGGGTCTTAGGAACCATCACTATGAACAAAGCTAGCGGAGGTGATGGAATTCCAGTTGAGCTATTTCAAATCCTAAAAGATGATGCTGTGAAAGTGCTGCACTCAGTATGCCAGCAAATTTGGAAAACTCAGCAGTGGCCACAGAACTGGAAAATGTCAGTTTTCTTTCTAGTCCCTAAGAAAGGCAATGCCAAAGAATGCTCAAACTACTGCACAATTGCACTTATTTCAAATACTAGTAAAGTAATGCTCAAAATTCTCCAAGCCAGGCTTCAACAATACGTGAATCGTGAACTTCCAGATGTTCAAGCTGGTTTTAGAAAAGGCAGAGGAACCAAAGATCAAATTGCCAATATCCACTGGATCATCGAAAAAGTTCAAGCGAGTTCCAGAAAAACATCTATTTCTGCTTTCTTGACTATGCCAAAGTCTTTGACTGTGTGGATCACAATAAACTGTGGAAAATTCTGAAAGAGATGGGCATACCAGACCACCTGACCTGCCTCTTGAGAAACCTGTATGTAGGTCAGGAAGCAACAGTTAGAACTGGACATAGAACAGCAGACTGGTTCCAAATAGGAAAAGGAGTACATCAAGGCCGTATATTGTCACCCTGCTTATTTAACTTATATGCAGAGTACATCATGAGAAATGCTGGACTGGATGAAGCACAAGCTGGAATCAAGATTTCCGGGAGAAATATCAATAACCTCAGATATGCAGATGACACCACCCTTATGACAGAAAGTGAAGAGGAACTAAAGAGTCTCTTGATGAAAGTGAAAGAGAAGAGTGAAAAAGTTGGCTTAAAGCTCAACATTCAGAAAAATAAGATCCTGTCATCCCGTCCCATCACTTCATGGCAAATAGATGGGGAAACAGTGGAAACAGTGTCAGACTGTATTTTTTGCGGCTCCAAAATCACTGCAGATGGTGACTGCGGCCATGAAATTAAAAGACGCTTACTCCTTGCAGGAAAGTTATGACCAACCTAGACAGCATATTAAAAAGCAGACATTACTTTGCCAACAAAGCCCCATCTAGTCAAGGCTATGGTTTTTCTGGTAGTGATGTATGGATGTGAGAGTTGGACTATAAAGAAAGCTGAGTGCCGAAGAATTGATGCTTTTGAACTGTGATGTTGGAGAAGACTCTTGAGAGTCCCTTGGACTGCAAGGAGATCCAACCAGTCCATCCTAAAGGAAATCAGTCCTGAATAGTCATTGGAAGGACTGATGCTGATGCTGAAACTCCAATACTTTGGCCACCTGATGCAAAGAGCTGACTCATTTGAAAAGACCCTGATGCTGGGAAAGACTGAAGGCAGGAGAAGAAGGGAACAACAGAGGATGAGGTGGTTGGATGGCATTACCGACTCGATGGACATGAGTTTGAGTAAATTTGGGGAGTTGGTGATGGACAGGGAGGCCTGGTGTGCTGCAGTCCATGGGATTGCAAAGAGTCGGACACAACTGAGCTACTGAACTTCCTTAGCCACCACTATGTACATTTAACACATTCTTTTGTTTCCTGGACTTTACTCTGCAGAAAATCATTCAAGTGCTGTCTTTATTTTCAGGGTCTCTTCACATTTTCTTGAAGACGTTGTTAAATCACATCTGTTATGGGTGATGAATACTATATCTTAGAATTCCTTGGAACTTTGGCTAATAATAGTGGTAATAAGTAATGCTTGGGTGCTTACTTTGTGCCTGGTGCTTTCATGTGTGTTAAAAGTTTAATTTTTTACTATTGTAATGTAGAAACTGTTCCTCATCCTCATTGTAAGTATGTGGAAACAGAGACCTACACAAATTCAGTGATTGACCGATGGTCACAGGGTTAGTAATGAAAGAGTTCACTTTGAAATCCATGTGTATCTACTTTCTTACTGTGCTGCAAAGTCTGGTGCAAATTTTTCAAAGAGTGTCTTCGATTCTAATTTATGGTGGTAAAATTCAACTCTCCTCCCCTCTCCCACTTTGTATCTCTGATATTACTCACTGGCAGCCACTGAAAGTTGACAGCAGTGATTTAAGGAAATAATCGTTTGTTGAAATCTGTCTTACCTTACTTAGAGTTAACGTTTTCTTCCATAATCATATCTATTATAGTACTTTTAATCTAGATTATCCGTTCCCTGAAAGAATAGGTCTCTTTCATTGAAATTGGCTGCCATGGAAACACTCCATTTTTAGCTGTCTTTTGCCTTTCTTTTTAAAAAACAGCCTTGTGTAAAGGCACCTCAAAGTGAGCTTGGGACACCCTTATCCCAGTAGGTAAAACGTGCTTTTTCCAGCATTAGTGTACTCAAGGTTGTCCACCCTAAACCTAGAATGGTAAAAATGGTGTTGATTGTGCGTATCTGAAGTTGATAAATCAGGGAAATGACTTTACCTGAAAATTCTGTAGTTTTGATTACTCTAGTTAAATCAATTAAACTTACCCTTTCATTTTTTAATTCCATATTTTATCATAAACTTATATTAAGGATATTTTTAGAAGTCTTTTTAAAGGCATATATCTATGCATATATTACTGTAGTTTGGCAAAAAAAAAGTGAGAGATCTATTTATTTCATGTATTTTTTTTCTCCCCCAGATCTATAAGACATACCGACACAGTATCTTTGCTTTTACTCATGTACTTATTCCTGTCTGGATTATTCATTATTATCTCAAGTATCATGTGACTGTAAGTATGCTTTAAGTATGTGTTTTTCTGAATTTATTTATTTTTAAAAATATTTGTTTATTTAAGTATATTTGACTGTGCTGGGTCTTTGTTGCTGTGGGCAGGCTTTCTCTAGTTTTAGCAAGTGGGGGCTGCTCTCCATTGCAGTGCACTGGCTTCTTATTGTGGTGGCTTCTCTTGTTGTGGAGCACAGGCTCTAGGGCAGTGGGCTCAGTAATTGTGGCACATAGGCAAAGTTGCCCCATGGCATGTGGGATCTTCCTCGACCAGGGGTGGACCTTGTGTCCCTGGCATTGACAGGCGAATTCTTAACTACTGGACCACCAGGGAAATCCCAGAATATATTGTTGATATTGCACAAAATTATCTCCTCTGTCAATTTGCCTTACCCTCCTCTACTTAGTCGAAATAATCTGCCACTTGTAACTGATCTTGAATTACTTTGAATCCTTTTCAGTAGAAGATTTAATAAAACTTAACTAATGCATGGTTTTTCAGAAAGTTAATTTTTTATAATAATTTTATTTATTATTTTTGGCTGTGCTGGGTCTTCATTGCTGCCCCAGCTTTTCTCTAGTTGTGGTGAGCGGGGGCTTTTTCTCGTTGCAGCGTGCAGGCCTCTCATTGCAGTAGCTTCTCTTGTTGCAGAGCACAGCCTCGAGGGTGCGCAGGCTTTAGTATTTGTGATGCATGGGCATCCCCGCAGCATGTAGGATCTTCCCTGATCAGGGATCGAATCCATGTCTCCTGCACTGGCAGACCGATGCATTTAACACTGAACCACCAGGAATGTCCCAGAAAATTTAATCTTTATATCAGTTGGTTACAACTTGAATCATATTTCCTCATAGAAATGATGTTTAAATGATCAGGAATGAAAAAAAAAATGATCAGGAATGTAGTTGATCTAATAATACTGGTACAAACTCAGGGTCCTGAGTCTGGAAAGTGAAGTTGTGAAGTCGCTCAGTCGTGTCCAACTCTTTGCAACCCCATGGACTATAACCCACTAGGCTTCTCCATCCATGGGGTTTTCCAGGCAAGAATACTGGAGTGGGTTGCCATTTTCTTCTCCAGGGGATCTTCCCAACCCAGGGATTGAACCCAGCTCTCCTGCATTGCAGGCAGACGCTTTAACCCTCTGAGCCACCAAGGAAGCCCTGAGTCTAGAAAGGAGAACAGAATTTCTGCTTCTTTTTTATGAAGCACAGATCTGATATAAGGTAGAATTCAAAATGGATAAAGGTTGTCTTTTTCATTTCGTTTTCCTTTGTTCTCTCTGGTTTTTCACAACTTACTTTCTTTAGAATTCGGTGTGTCCAGAAGATCTGCATGTGATGATTGAACTCAGCCTGCTGCCGTATTTTAAAGGCTTAGGCTACTTTGGTGGGGGCTCTCCAGGTGGCACTAGTGGTAAAGAACCTGCCTGCCAATGCTGGAGACATGAGACACGGGTTCGATCCATGGGTTAGAAGGATTCCCTGGAGGAGGGCATGGCAGCCCACTCCAGTATTCTTGCCTGGAGAATCTCATGGACAGAGGAGCCTGGTGTGGGCTACAGTCCATAGCGTAACATAGAGTCGGACACGACTGAAGCAACTTAGCACAGCATACCTTGGTGTAGGGTGTTAGATCCCAGGCGTAGTGAGGAAGGAGTACATTTCAGGGAGTGGAATGGAAGGAGAGTGGTGATAATTGCCTGCCCAGCATGGAGTTTTATAACCCAAAGAGTGAGGAGGATATTCTTGTACACAGTGATGAGTGTTAGGTCCTGAATGGATGAGGGGTGGGGGGTTGATGTATATACCTGTTTGGAGAGCTGCTGCGGCAGCAGCCTGGGGTAGGAGATTGGAACCTAAGCATGGGGAGGAGGACATCAGGGAGCAGTGTGGTTTGGGGCAGTGATGGGGTTGGCAAGCCAGAGTAAGGTGTCACAACCTGAATGAGGTGAGGAGGTTATTTATACTGGAGTGTGGTGGTGGTGACGACAGGAAGTTGGTTATATGCATGTTGAACTCTGTGTGGCAGGCAGTGAGAAGCTTTCCATTTTTAAATAGGAGAGTGAGTTGATAAGGTGATATACAGTAAGTCTCCTGCATATGAATGGATTCCATTCTGAGAGCACATTCGTTAAATCCAGTTTGTTTGTTTTTTTTTTAAGTCCAATCAGGTTAGCCTAGGTACCCAACTAACACAGTGGTCTATGAAGTACTGTACTGTAATAGGTTTATAGTATTTTTCACAAAAATAATACATAAAAGTGACAGTGAACAACAATAGTACCTTGAAAAGTACAGGAGTACAGTACAACAGCTGACTTACAGGGGCTGGCATCAGGTGATGAGTAAGAAGAGTTACTAACTGGAGGAGGGAGTGGGGTGGAAGATGATAGAGTTGAAGAATTGTCAGCAATAGGAGATGGAGTGCAAGCTGCAGTTTAACTCAGGCCTTGTATGATTGGGCAGGCAGACACACTTGCATCTTTGAAAGTTTATAACTTAAAGGTTTGTGTGTAGGGGGCTTGATCTATTTTGGAAACAGTGACAGACTTTATTTTCTTGGGCTCAAAAATCACTGCAGATTTTGACTGCAGCACTGCAGTCAAAGATGCTCCTTGGAAGAAAAGCTATGACCAACCTAGACAGCATATTAAAAAGCAGAGACATTACTTTACCAACAAAGGTCCATCTAGTCATATGGTTTTTCCAGTAGTCATGTATGGATGTGAGAGTTGGACTATAAAGAAAGCTGAGAGCTGAAGAATTAATGCTTCTGAACTGTGATGTTGGAGAGGACTCTTGAGAGTCCCTTGGACTGCAAGGAGATCCAACTAATCAATTATAAAAGAATTCAGTCCTGAAAATTCATTGGAAGGACTAATGCTGAAGCTCCAATACTTTGGCCTCCTGATGCAAAGAACTGACTCATTGGAAAAGACCCTGATGCTGGGAAAGATTGAAGACAGGAGGAGAAGAGGATAATAGGGGATGAGATGGTTGGATGGCATCACTGACTCAATGGACAAGAGTTTGAGCAAGCTCTGGGAGTTGGTATTGGACAGGGAAGCCTGGCATGCTGCAGTCCATGGGGTTGCAGAGAGTCGGACACAACTGAGCAACTGAACTGAACTCATCTATTTAGGAAAACATAAAAACATAGAACTGTAGGGTGAGTTTGAGGGAGGAAAGTACTGATGTCAGGCAAATCAGCAGAGGCTGTTGCAGTTTACTAGATGTTAATTGATGAGAACCTGATCAGAGCAGAGATAATAGGAATGAAAAAGTAGTGAGCCAGAAGATACTTTTTAAAGAAATAACCCAAGGTGGGGATGAAATAAAATTTCACAATCATTTTGACCATAAAATTTTTAGCCTTGAAAGTTCAGAGAAGCAAAATTTGCTACTCTACAATGTCCCTTTGGTATGCAGATTAAAATGATATAAGCCATTCCCATTATGTTTCTGTTGGACAGTGTTAGACAAGAGATACAGCTTCCCTGGTGGCTCAGATGGTGAAGAATCTGCCTGCAGTGCAAGAGACCCGGGTTCAGTCCCTGGGTCAGGACGATCCCCTGAAGAAGGGAATGGCTACCCACTCCAGTATTCTTGTCTGGAGAAATTCTGTGGACAGAGGAGCCTGGCGGGCTAGTCTATCAGGTCACAGACTTGGTCAAGACTAAGCAACTAACACTTTCACTAACTTCTTAAAATAATGTAGATTAGAAGACTTGTTCCAGGAAGGGAACTATCACCACAGATAACTATAATATGAACTCTAAATGTGGTAGACAGGAAGGAGCCTAGCAAAGGCTACTGAAATTCCCTACTGTGTCCCATCGTCTCTCATGGTCTAACAGACATTTGTTTCCCAAAGTTTTGCTCTTCTGTCTCCATGTGAATTGCTTTCCTCTCCAGTGAAGTCCCAAATACTTACTCCCAGCATCTTCTTTTGTCTTTAGCCTAAGATGGTATTTAACTCATTTTGGGAGTTACTTGGTTCTCCTGGTTCTCTCCCATGTATAGATGTTACTGAATTTTGTCTGCTTTTCTCCTATTAATCTGTCTCATGCCAACTTAATTCTTAGACCAACCAGAAGAGCCTAGAAAGGTAGAGGAAAATTTCTTCCTCCACAACGAAGGTTTTAAGTAGAACTTTGTAAAGGAAGGCTTTCTGGTGATGGGGAAGAAGTAAATTTGCTTAGGAGCACTTGCTGCCCTGTCAGTTTCTGAGGAAGTTTGAGTGGACATGGCCTGTCTTACATGGTAGAAACATGAGATTAGTGGAGGCCAGTAATTGGGCTTCCAATTGGGGGTTAGTGAAGAATTGGGGGTTAGTGTTTCATTTTATAAACCAACAGAAAATCTTTTTTCGGTCATTAAAAGGGGGCTAACAATGTATGGCTAAGGGTCAGAGTGTAGTTTACATTTCTGTCGTTGATGAGCTTAAACAAAGTTTTATATTCATGTTCACCTACACGTCCACAGCCCGCTTTATATCATGATGGTGGTGGTTTAGTCACTAAGTTGTGTCCCACTCTTGTAACACCATGGACTGCAGCCCACCAGGCTCCTCTGTCCATGGGAATCTCCAGGCAAGATTACTGGGGTGGGTTGCCATTTCCTTCTCCAGGGGATCTTCCCAACCCAGGAATCAAACCTGGGTCTTCTGCACTGCAGGCAGATTCTTTACTGACTGAGCTATGAGAATAGCCTTGTATCATTATACCTCTTATTTTTTTCAGTGTCTTAACATGCAGGACTCTAGAGAAGAAAAAATGTTACTGTCTGTGAAAATTTTTTTTAACATCTAAGAGTGGTTTTTATGTGCAGAAGTAACTGTTCCAGTTACCCGAAATATAAATTAATATGCAGTTTCTTAGTTTTAAATTTAAAAACTTTTCTTTATTTTTTTTAATTCAGTTTTAAAATTTTGTTAACTAGATATACATCTGGTAAAATATGAACAGTCTCTTTTCTTTGTTCTTATTATCTTTGGATAATTCAAACTGAATTTCCATAAAACAATTCCACTTACAAATATCATCAAATTCTCTTAAATGTTTTAAACCGCATTTATATATTTTATATATTCAGTTTTATTTTTAAGTATTTATGGCAGGGGTCCCAACCTCCAGGTTCTAATGCCTAATGATCTGAGAGGGAGCTGATGTAATAATAATAGAAATAAAGTGACAGCAAATGTAATGTGCTTGAGTCATCCTGAAACCACTCCCCCCCATCCCCATGGAAAAATTATCTTCCAGGAAACTGGCCCCTGGTGCCAAAAATGTTGGGGACTGCTGAATTTTACAGGACACATTAATGACCCTGAAAAGAAAATCTTTTTAAATTTAAAATTCACACACCTAAATGCATTTTAACTAGAATCCTTATTAAATTTGACATTCACCTGTTTATACTCTGACTTAATTTACCTTGTCATAGCTATATTTAACTGAATATTTCTAGGATTGAAAAAACACTTATCTCCTCAGAGAAAAAGATTTAACCACCTGCAGTTGCTGGGTTGACAATTTGAGCCATTAATACGGTGGCTTATCTGAGAAATACATATTTCTCAATGATTTTTCCTGGACAGATGGACATAATTAAAGGTTTTGTGTCAGTGGATGTCCGCAGGCCTCTCCTTTACCTTACTGTTTCTCTTGATTTGGGTAGGCCTGCATCCTCAGTACTGTTACGGCCAGTTCACTTTAGCTAATACCTTTATGCTGCATTAAATTGAACATTATCTGAAGATATTTCGGTATCTTCTTGCCTCTAGCTGCAGTTTTTAGAGACATTGGGTGTCCTCACATTGTTTTATGAGTTTCTCTCCTGCTTTTGGTTCCAATTTGCTGGAGTCTTCCATCATGCCAATAATCTTTTAAATTTTTTGGTGTGGTTATCTTGTGCAGATGTGTGTGCTTAATAAGTACATTTATGTAGCACCTCCAGTATACAAGGCACTGTTCTAAACACTGTAGGGATACAGCACTAAACAAGGCTTATTGAGTCCCTGTCTTCAGGAAATGTTTGTTCTAGTCTTGGAGACTGGCAGTGAATAGATAGGCAAACGTTGTAAGATAAAGTTACCAGAGGTGGTTAAGACTGTAGAAGAAAAACTTAAGGGTAAAAGACCAGAGGATGAGAGGGACTGCTATTCTAATTAAGCTTCTTTGAGGAAGTGCTCTTTGAAAAACGTAAATGAACTGAGGATATGGAGAAAAGCATTTCAGGCAGAGGAATCATGAAGTGGGAGGGTCCTGAGGCACAAGCAGGCCTTACAGATTGTACTAACACAGAGGAGCCACTGCGACTACAATGCAGGCGGTGGGGTGGGGGGAGGTAATATGAGATCAGAGAGTTGGCCAAGGACTTTGGCTTTTTTTTCTTAAGAATTATGAAACTTTGAGCAGAGGAGTGATGCATCTTAATCACTGTAGGAACTTCTGTGGTGGTCCAGTGGTTAGGGCTCTGAGCTCCCGATGCAGAAGGCCTAGGTTTGATCCTTGGTCAGGGAGCTAGATCCCATATGCTGCAGCTAAGAGCCCGCATGCCACAACTAAAGATCCTGCATGTTGCAACTAAGACCCAGTGCAGCCAAATAAATAAATATTAAAAAAAAATTACTCTACTCTTTCTGCAATGTGGAGAATAGACTGTAGGAGGGCACATGTGGAAGCCAAGAGACCAGTAGGTGAAAAAATGGTAGCAGCTTGGACAAGGGTAGTAGTATATTAGAAGTGGTGAGAAGCACTTAGATTCAGGATAAATCCTCAAGGTGGAGTCAGCGGGATCTGCCAAGAAGTCAGGGTTTTTGGCCTTTGTAATTAGGAGAATGAAAGTGCTGTCGCAGAGATAGGGAATAGTTTGGGGCTGAAGGATGTTAAGTGTTGGGCCTGGTTAAGTTTGCAATGCCTGTTTGATCAAGTAGATCTTGAGTAAATAACTGAATGTATGAGCCTGGAGTTTAGTAAAAATTTGAGATATGATCGATTTATTTTAGAAAAAACTCTAAAACCATAATTAACAGAGAATTACTTTTATTGCAGACAAAACCATATACCATCGTTGAAAAGAAGCCCAGAATATTTCCAGTAAGTCTTAAAACATGTTTTTTCTTTTGCTTATACTTCTCTCTCCCTTCCCAAATGATCATTAGACTAAAATTCTTCTTGCTGAAAGTTTTAAGTACCTATTGCGTATTCTTAAAAAAAAAAGAAAAGGAAATAGTGTGATGTAGCAATTGGAGTTGAACCTGGGACATGGGCACATTCTTTTCACCCTGGCTGTAAAACTTGTGTGATGTTTGTCATCCTAAAGTGAATTGAAGGTCCCAATAGTTTTTCATTGGGTGCCCTGTTTCATGTGGGTTAAGGACTTAGGGCCCTGGCTTGAGCAGACACCTGGGCATTGTAAGAACAACTGAATTATTTTATTATTTCCAAACTTATTATTGTTTCCTGTGACAGTTTGACCATAACCTTTCCATATGTGAATTTAAAATGTTATTGTGTGCTTTAAATTGTATACTATGGATATGTAGGCTATTAACCTAATTTAAAATGACTCTTTTTACCATTAAAGGTTCCTTATTAGTCAGTTGGTATTTTGCTGGCTGTTCATGAGGTTATTGTTTAGCAGAGTCAAATACATCTTATGTTCTTGTCCCATTTCTAGTCACAGATAATGAACTACCATCAATTTCTAAGTTATGTACTTCTAGAAAACAAAACTCCATGTAGATTCTTGCTTCCATCAAATGACTTAGTCACAATAATCCATTGACAACTGCAGCAGAAGGGAATTTTAGAGAGAACCACCAAAATAGGCTAACTTTTTCAATTGGAATTCTGCTTTAGGAAATAGTAGATTTCTGTATTTGTGTACAATTGGTGTTTGTCAGGGCCCAGGTAGCCTCCTTTATCTTGCTGGTTTCAACCAGTTAGGTAATATATTTATTCTTCCATTTATGTGTTTGTTATTTATTTTGCCATTGCTGTTCAAAGGAAAAGGAGGAGGATCTCTTTAGAAGACCACATAGTGATTCCATAGCCTCTCTCCTACTTCCGTATATTTTGCTACTGTGGTTCTTTCCTGTTTCTGTACCATTGACCCACTTGAGAAGTTGCCCCTTTGAGGACCTGAAGAGTGCTCATCTGTACATACTTTAGAATAGGATAGACAGTAAGAAATAAACCCCCAAATCTCAGTGGCTTACCAAAAGTTTATTTCCTATTGATATCACAGACTAGTATAGATCAGACAATTATAGTTAGGCCATTGCGAATATGCAGCTCCAAGATCACAGGGTTGAATATTTCAGAGGATGATTTTAAGGTCTAAGCTTGGATGTAGCTTACATCACTTCTATTCAAGTCCTGTTTGCCAGGACTTATTCTCATGGTCCCAGATATATTTGTGCTTTTTTATATTTCCCAGCCTCCCATACCTGGAACCTCTGCCACAGTCTATCCTTCTAGTTAACAAATGGCTCTCTGCTTCCTTCTTCCCACACATGTAACACAAGACCTTTTCCTTGGGAGAAACCCCAAGATCCCATTCCATCAATGCAACCTGAGACTGCCAGATGATGCACAGTAATATCTGTCAGGGTTAATCTTGAAGATTCTTCTCTTAGAGATTGGAGGATCAATGACAAGTGAACTGTATCCCTTGTCCCCCCAACCACACCCATTATTCAACAGTGGAATGTGGACAGCATAGCAGTCACTTGGTTCTGAAACCCCACTGGTCAAACACTGGGAAGACTCCTAACCCGTGTGTATGGAAGGTTACTTGAATGGGACTGATTTTGCTTCTGGAGGGAACACCTTTGTTCATTGTTCTTCCTGACTCCTGGGGTAGGGGGGCGCACTGCGGGGGCACATCCATTCTTTTCCTTTATCTAGACCACATCTAAAATGAGGACTGGGAAATATGCCCTTCTTAGGGTTGTACAGCCTTTAAAGTCTACCTCCTGTTGACAGAAGGTTGAGGGCCAGAGAAAACTATCACAGGCTTTTGCTTCTGTATGTTCGGTTTCTTGGACCATCTAGTTCTCACATTTGACAGGCATGGAAAGAAAAACTTGGTAGGAGTCTAACCTTTGTGCTTCGAGTCGGTCCCACCTGCCGGTCTGTGGTTTGTACACAGTTACCAAGTCCTTTCATTTCATGTCCTCACCCCGCTGCCTCTCCACTCAGCGGCAGCTACGTGGAGGCCACTGAGACACACTCTGTCTCAGGCTCTACCTGCGCTTCAGTCTGATCTTTGCATGGTGCTGGGTCCCTGTGTTTACTGAGCTTTACGGGCTTCTCAGAATCTTCAGTGTTAGCTCTTACTCGTTGGAGATTCAGAAACAATCCATCTGATTTTCTAATACTGCATGGTCCTGAATGTTTAGATTCTTATTTTTCTCTTCTCAAATTAGCCACTTCTTACCTGGGCTTACGTTTCTTAAAGTACATTTCTAAGGCAGCCATTAATGTAGTAGTTAAACCCATACTATAACTTTTTTCCAGGTACTTCAATTATTGGTACTTCTAACTCATTAGTGCCTCTTGTTTCCATCTCTTAGCCTCCAGCGCCAGTGTCTTGAAGCCAGACTGCTAAGCCAGTGCCATGTAGCTCAATTTTTATTATAACAGCATTCATACCAGTTCAGGTTATTAATTTCTGTGTCAGGGTAAAGCTAGCTGTCCTCACAGGTTTTCCCCAAAATGTATACTGGTTTACACTAATACAAGTTTATAGTCCTGAGCAACCAGGACAGGGAATGGCAGGTGGTGATGGGATAATTCTGCCCTTCTCAGTCAATTCATGGACTGTCAGGCTTATGGAATCTGCTATCTTAAACAGAGAGCTGAAATGAAAGCTAAGTACTTTGCCTAAAATTATGCAGCTTGTCAGTGGAGGGTTCCAGGATTCACACTACTTGGTTCTAGCTTTAAGTCCCTTCCTGTTCTGCCACACCCACTGTATTTAGGTTTGGAAAGTTGGAAAGACATCTGGACTAGCTGCCTAGGCAAAGTTTGCAGGTCCGTCTCTAATATCTCTTCTGGGCCAAAGAGTAAACTGGTGGCTGCCTACCATATTTAGTTGCTGGGAATACATACCACCTTGTATTGAAGTGAAGCTATTTCCCTATAACTTCTTTCTAGGGCTTCTCCTATTTCTTGGGGCCAAGCAAATAAAGATCATCCTTCTGTCACTTTGTAAAGACAACTTTCATGTCCTTTGTGGTCATTTGGTTTGAGTAAAACTCCCCTATTTGTTCCTTATTCCTTAAGATTTTGGACTGGTTTCTTATCTTTAGACAGCTTCTATTTTACCTATGTCACTTTTAAATGTGAATGCCAGAACTGAGCTAGGCTTTCCAGATGAGCTCAAAGGGGAACTGTTGCCTCTGCTGACAAGATTTATCACTAACGCACCTTTGTTTTTCTAGGGTGATACAATTCTGGAGACTGGAGAAGTAATCCCACCCATGAAAGAATTTCCTGATCAACATCATTGAAGATTACTTTAAAATTTCGAAGGTGTATGAGCCTGTTTGTTGCTACATTACCAACTTATTGAAAGTACTTTCTGGAAAAGTAATAAAGTTTACTCACATATGTGTTGTCTGTTTCTTCCCAACCTGTGCCATTCTCTCTGTACAATTTGAGACTGAATTATCTAACAATAAGTAAAAACTGGACAGGCTAAATAAAAATAATATGGTCAGTCACCTACTTTTTCTGGCCATTTTTAACCTGGAAAACAGAATGCAGAAAATTGTTTAGTCACATGATAGTTTTTTCTTACGCTGTACTTAATCTAGTTGATGTGAAGGTATACAACGGAATGAAATGTTGCAATAAAACTAAGAACAGAAATTACAGCACACTTTGTTTTAAAGGCTTTCTGGAGACATTTCATTAGTATTTTAGAAACTCTAGATCAAAAAACTGTCAGATATACTTTGCATTGTTATCCTTCCTCGTGTTTTCTTCAACTCTTTTTGAACTGTAGCTCGCCAGGCTCCTCTGTCCATGGAATTCTCCAGGCAAGTATACTGGAGCGAGTTGCCATTTCCTGCTCCAGGGGATCTTCCCCACCTAAGGATGGAACTGGTGTCTTCTGCATTAGCAGACAGATTCTTTACAACTGCATCACCTAAGATCCTTGTGCTTTCTTATATGAGAACCTAAAAGACAAACCTCTTGGTATATGAAAAATCGACAATTAGTGGCTACTATAACGGACGGTATACAAAAGTGAATTTGGGATCATTATATTAAAGGTTTTACTTTAAATCGAGACAAGTATCAGACAGAGGTAAAGAACTGTATATGCATGAAATCAAATCCAGAGGAATTACAAATATTCGTTCATTCCGAAGATTCTGTCTGGGTATTCCTTGCTTAGTTGTCGTCGTGCAGCTACAGTTGATGCATAGATGACGTATCCCCAGGAGAGCAATACGACCGCGAGAAGCAACTAGGAAATGGAGTAAAAACAACCTTTGAGTGGCACGTCCTCCCGGGCCCCATCAGGTTGCCGCGCACGTTAATAAGGTGGGGATTTTAGTGACAAACTCGCATAAATGTGGTTCCGGAAGCGAGTTCACCCGGTAGCCCTTACGTAAGAAGCGGAAGACCGTGTCCTCCAGGAAGAGGAGGAGTCGACGTTAGGGAGTGAAAGGCTTAATTCAAGAATGGATTTTAGAGTTTCTGGGCGCTGAAGATATAGGGGACCTTCCACCCGCGGGCCTCGAGCGTAGACCCCGGGGAGGCCCGCCGAGCCCGGGACCTACCGCGGAATAAATCCGGTCTAGGGTGCGGCGACTCACTGGCTTCATGGTAAGGCGGTGGCGGTGGTTCGCGGGCACGGGCGGAAGCCGCAGGCCCTACAGTAACCTCCGGGGCGGTGGCTGCTGAGCGGCGGCAGCCATCTTTCAGCCGGGCGCGAGCGCCCGCCCACTCACCTCCCCGCGCGTTTCCCATCAGCCCGGCCGGCCTCTTCCGCCCGGAGCTGGGGGGCGGTGTCACGTGCTCGGGGGCCTAGCCCGCCTTAAGGGGAGGAAGTGAGAGAAACGAGAAAATAACGCTTGAAAAGGGTTTATTTTGCCGCTGTGAGGGACAGGCTTGACTTGTCAACCGGTCGCCTTTCAGTTGTAGAGCAGTATTAATGCGAGATAAGGTACCGTCACGTGCATTTAAAACTTTATTTGGAAAAATAACCCACGGTTTAAGTATCACGCCGACGTCTAGTACTGAAAGAATTGTTTCTAACCGGATCTGTTCCCACGGTATAGGTAGTTCGTGTATTCACCTTTGATTTAGAGTACAGCCTGCTTTTATATAACTGACGAGTCGTTGTGGGACTCCCTGTTACTGGAGTTTTTCTTAAAAGTTTTTGAGAACGCAATGGCTTTTTGATACTTTTAAGAAATAACGTGGCCCGAATTACCGGACATAATGTAGCTGCCAATTAGCAAGTGCTGCTCGAGCATTTGTATGCTTAGAACTGTAGCATGATCAAATATGAAACCAAAGGATGGGGTTTGGCACGCAGGCCGTTTTACCAAGAATGTTCGGGACGCTTACATTTTAAGCGAAGAATGGGACAACGGGGCCCAGACGTTTTGTTTCTGTAATCTCAGATATCATCTAAACAGGGTTTTTTAATACATATTTCGGAGAGCGGGTAAGGAAAAGACGTTATCTGTTTCGAGAAGATTTCAGTTCCCACTGATTTTAGGTCAGATCCCTGTTAATCCTGACTGGAGTTGATCTCTCAAGATTGATTTGGGATTCCATTCGAATCCTGGTGGTGGTTCTTAACTTTTCAGCCCAAGTCCCTTACCTTCCGGATAACTCGGTTCCTTTATCGAACACCAGAGATAGTTTGAGTAACTTCTCGCAGAATTTGGCGAGGTTTAAATGAGACCACAGCCCTTGTAGCTCAGCTGGTAAAGAATCCGCCTGCAATGCGGGAAACCTGGGTTCGATCCTTGGGTTGGGAAGATCCGCTGAAGGGAAAAGCTGCCCCCTCCAGTATTACCGCCTGACGAATTCCCTGGACTGTGTAGTCCATGGGGTCTCGCAGAGTCGGACACAACTGAGTGACTTTAACTTTCAAACGAGACCAAGCTAGTTACCGTGTCTTCCAGGTAAGTTAGAAGTGAACTTTAAGATAGTTAGCTTCTAATCCCCATGTATTACTCGAGTTGACGGTGCGTTAGCGGTTTCGTCCTGAGGGGGTCACGTCGCTCTCCTCTCTGGAGCGGAGGAAAGTGGGGGAAGGGCCGGGCTCAGGCCGAGCGCGCTGAGCCCCGCCCTCAGCGCGGGCGTCCTCTACCGCGCATGCGTCACGCGGGCGGGTGCTGTGTTTTGACGCGCTGGGGGCCGGGAAGTGGGTTTTGGTTTCTGCCCCCGCCCCCTGTCTGCCATTGGTGATGAGCGCTTTACGTCACAGGGGTCGCAGCAGCCGCCGGGGTCTCCGCTGTCTCGCGAGGAGGGTGAAGCGCCCCCGCCTACTCCCGCTTCGGAGGGCCGGCGGAGAAGTCGTAGAGTTCGCCTTCGTGGATCCTGCCGTCACCGACCCAGCCTTCTGGGCCGCCGGGAGCTGGCCACGAGCGCCCCAGCCCGGCCTGCGCCGGCATCCTCTGAGGTGAGTGAGGTCGGGAACAATGGGGCGCGGGGGTCAGAAGGGGGCCGGGAGAGCAGAAGCTCCAGCCTGCAGCGAGGCCCAGGGGCGAGAGAGCTGCGGTCCGGGCCTGAGGCGCCTCGGTGAGCCGGCGGGCCAGGCTTCGGGCGAGCGGCTTCTGCGGCGCACCTGTGGATCCGTGCCGGTGGGCGGGGGAGGGCTGCTTTCCGAGACGCGCTCCCCAAAGCGCGAGCCCAGCCGCGTACTGGAAGGAGCTTGGTCTCTAGGTGGGGGGTGGGGGAGACACGACACAAAGCACAAACGTTCGAGTCTGTGGCGTCGCTGCTGCCAGAGGGTGTGACCTTGTAAGGCCCCCTCATCTCTGAGCACGTCTGTAAAATGGGAGTAACAGTATTTGAGTTCGTTGGGATTATGTAATGCACGGGGTGCCTGCCTTCGATCCTGGCAGGTGGCAGTTCTCAACCAAAGGAAGCGACTGTCTCTAACTCTGGTAGTTGTCTGTTACACCCCGTGAGCCTGTGACTTCATCCGTCGACTCTGCATCTCGCTTCATGGGCTACTTTGGTAGACTGGAAGGGGGCGGTACTGAGAGGAGGCAAATAGTGCTCTGGGAGGAAAAGTGAATAGAATTTTTGGTAGGTAATTTTCAAGTTAATTGAAGTAAATTCGGAAGGGGTTATCGAAGATTTACGTTAATAACGGTGAGAGTTGGGGTTTTTGTTTGTTTTTAGTCTCTGGCTTTGAAAGCTGTACAGTCAGCCAAAGCAGTCATGCTTAGCTGGAATGAGCGGCTTTAGAGGGTAGTGGTTCCCAAGCAGTTCCTTTCATTGCTGAAACTGGAATTAAATTTCGTTGGGTCTGGTGTAAATTTACATTTTTTAGGGTCTGGTGTAAATTTACATTTTTTAGGGTCTGGTTAGTTGATCGTTTAAATTGTTTGATTTCTCGGTATTGATGATTAGATTGCAGTGCAGAGAGGTACACGGTTTCTTTAAGGTCACAAGAGAGAGGGCCCAGATTGTTTATAATAGTTTATAGTAGTTTATGAATATTTTAATAGTTATAATAGTTGATCCACCTGTGAACCCTTTTTAGCCATTTTGCTTAGATATATTAAATACGATAATGATACTAATATGAGGATCATTCGCTTGTCATCTTTCTGGGCATTTATAATCAGTTGTGGGTGATGGAAATTACAGAAATTAATTTTATCTTCACATAACATGGGATAACAGTATTAAACTCTTACTCCCCACCAAGCACTATGCCAAGGGTTTATGTGGAATATCTCTCTTCACACAACCACCTTTTCAGGTGCATACTGTTATTTAAAACATTTTAGAATTGAGAAAAATGGAAGGTTTTGAGAAATTAACTTTCTGCAGATCACAGCACTAATACGTGTTTTCTCAACCCTGACTTTGCATTAGAATTAACATGACTCCATGAAAACATAACTCTAGTCAAATTTTTTAAATGTGAGGTATGTCCAGTCTATGGTCTAATTTAGACTTCCAGCTTCCGGACTCTTTTTAACAGCCTCCACCTGCCACCCCTCCCCCCAATTCTAAAGATGATAAATTTTATTTATAATTTGAGAGGCAGTTAAGGGGAAAGGTTCAGAAGAGCTGATTAATCTTTTCTTCATGGGGAAATTAATTTGAAGTTCTAATTCCTAGAGTACTAGGATAGAGAAACTTTTGTTCTAGGGTGCTTCTAGAATCTGAAGCACTAAATCTGCCATCAGATCTGCCTTTGCTGCCTAACCCAGAATTCTTCCAGCAAAACGACAAATCTTTTTTTTAAAATATATATTTGTTTGGCTGCCCTGGGTCTTAGTTGCATGTGGGATATAGTTGGCTGGTTTGGTATTGAAACCAGGCCCCTTACTCACTGGGAGTGCAGAGTCTTAGCCCCTGAACCACCAGAGAAGTCCCCCAAACCAAATCTGTCCCCTTGCTATCTCTGTTTTATGCCTTAATTTGTACTTTTGAAACAGCTCTGTTGAGATATAATTTATATTTTATCTATAAAGTTCACTTCTTTAAAATTTATAATACAGTGGTTTTTAGTGTGTTTATGTAGTATATTTCTGCAATTATAATTGAACATTTTCATCATCCTAGAAAGAAACTTTGATAATCCTTACCCAGGCTTCCCCTACACACACCCAGCAATCACTAGTCTACTTTCTATTGATTCTGTTCTGTACATTTCATATAAAATAGCATATAATGTGATATTTTGTGATTGATAATGAAAAGATTCGTCCATGTTGTAGCATATATCAGCAGTTTGTTCCTTTGTATTGTCATATGTTCCATTGTACAGATAAACCACATTGTATGGGTATACCACAGGTGGAGGCAGCCTCCACCTACCTCCACTATCACCCTTCCTTCCACCCCCAATTCTAAAGATGATAAATGTTAGAATTCATCAGTTGATGAGCATTTGACACTTTTTAGATATTAAAACTCTTTAGCTTCCCAAGTGGCACTAGTGGTAAAGAACCTGTTTGCCAGTGTTGGAGACTTAAGGGACACGGGTTCTTTCCCTGGGTCAGGAAGATCCCCTGGAGGAGGGCACGGCAACCCACTTCAGTATTCTTGCTTGGAGAATCCCATGGATAGAAGAGTCTGGCAGGCTACCGTCACTTGGGGCGCAGAAGAGTCAGAACTTAAGCAAATTAGCAAGGACGACTATTCATTTAAACGTTTTTGTGTGGGCCTATGGTTTTGTTTCATTTGGATAAATACGTGTGGAATTGCTGGGTCATGTGGTAATAAATTCTACATTATTTGAATTAACACATACATTTAGTATTTAGTGGTGATTTCAAAAGAGTAGATCCCTTTATTGATGATTTACATTCATTGCCATTGTATGATGTTTCTCATGAATACCATTCTTTATAGCTAAAGAAACTCCTATGTAGAAATATGAAACAGAACTAAGAATTTTTTCTTTTCACCTACTCTACATAATGTTACTCATCATTCTTTATATACTTGTGCTGTCAAGTTGGTTAACAGGCTTATAAAACTAGGGAAAGGAGAACTAAAATTCCGTCTTAAAAAATTTATAATTAGTGAAATTTTGTTTTATTTGAACTTGAAATTATTATCAAATAGTTCTCTTTAATAAATTCATTCTGGGTTGTAAATCTTTGTGTGACCTGGAAATGTTTAGTAAACACCAAAATTCTGTATTCCAGAAAAACAAATTAAGGTAAACTGTATTAACTAGAAATTCACCATTTTAAAAGTCTAGTGATTTCTTATATTGAGAGGCAAACTGAAGTCCAGAGTTAATGTGGATTTCTCCAATTGACAGAGTTAGTTTTAGGTGAAACCTGGTCATCAGTCCAGATCTGATGCCTCTCCACTCTTTTTCCTAATGCTACAGAGTCTCTTAACAGTTTTTGTTTTTAAAAGATTCCCCCCATTGAGTCGGAGAATTTAAAAATATTAGAAGTAGGGGGAAATGCTGAGAAATTTATGTCATATTTAGTTTATTTATAATTCTCTTCTATTTAAGAACAGTGGTAATTTTTGCATTCCCACTGTAGAAGACAGGACTGGAGGTATTTAGACCCCCTTGAAGAAACTTGTTCAGCATTAATTGATTTCATATTAAGATACAACTCTGAGAAAGCTAAGATGCACTAGATGAGCAAATTAATTTGAAGTCTGTGGTGAAATACTTAAATTCCGCAATCACAGATTTTTGTTGTGGGTTTTATTTGTTTTTTGTTAGAGCTTGATATGGCCAGTGAGTCTCTTGTTTAGAAAATTACAGTTTTATTATTTGACTAGATAGCAGTTGACTGTTCATGAGATTTCTGTGATAGAGGAGGTGGAGGAAGAACAGTAATAGGCCCAGGAAAACATAGAAGAAGAAACACATATTTAATATTTATAAAATGATTAGTATAGAAAGCAACTAAACAGGGAACAAGGCCCAGATGTAATGCAACTGGATTTCAGCTTTTGAAAATTCATTTAGTAAATTATGGGCCAATGTAAACTGATACATTTCAAGAAAACAGAACAAATCTTTTAAGATTCTAGTGGTCCTTGTGAGAATAAATAAGGGAAGGAGGCTGAAAGCATGATTTCAAGATACTTTGTGAGTGACTAGATTAAACAGGAAGGAGAAGAAAAGCTTCTTAGGGATACTGAAAGGAGTCAGTGATGAACTGAATATAGTAACAATAGTAAGAGTAACAGTAGTTAATGTTTACTTAGCAGTTGCTGTTAGCCAGGGACTGGCCTTGAATGCTTTTACAGTTATTTCATTTAATAATCTTCACTAACAGATCCTTTTTTGTGTTTGGAAGAATCATCCACAGAACTGTTTCAAATAGGGGAACTTTATGGTATGCAAATTTTCTCACTAAAGCTATTTTTAAAGGTACGTAGATAATACCACAAACAAAACAAGTAGTCCATATTGTTTGGGGTGTGTGTATTAAAGATATAAAACCATACATAGAAATAATTCTGAGAATTGCGATATTCTTGGTTTTTGTTTTCTGGAGAAGGATGGGCTTGGAGGAGGGGCACATAAAGGGACAGTTTAAAAAATCTGGAATAACCATGAGAAAATGTTAATTGCTAAATCTGAATGGTGGATATTTGGCTACTTGGTATATTTTCTTTTGCACTTTTTTGTATATATCAAATTTTCCTCAAATTATCTTTTTAAAAGGAATAATAGCATAGTATAGAATATTTGAGAGCTTACTATGGCACTTTTTCTAAGACCTTTTTCTTTTTTTAAACATCTTCACAAATTCTGTGAGGCAGGTTCTAGTATTAGTGCTCATCAGATGAAATTGAAGCATAAGGATAGTAACTAGTCTATAATCACACTGGTAGTGTGGAACCAGGATATGAACCAGGAGATCTGACTTTAGAGCTAGTGCTTTAAGTACTGTATTACTATGCTACGCTGTCCCTTTATGTTACAGACATGTACTACTTTTCACTGAAGTATGTTTCAGTCATTTGCATTTTTTTCAGATTTAGTCATTTCATTTTTATCAGGTTACTGATGTATTTTTTTCCCTTTTACAGATAATGGCATCAGCCGCTAAGGAATTTAAAATGGACAACTTTTCACCTAAAGCTGGCACTAGCAAATTGCAACAGACAGTACCAGCTGATGCATCTCCCGATTCTAAGTGTCCTATATGCTTGGATAGATTTGATAATGTGTCTTACTTAGATCGCTGTTTACATAAGTTCTGTTTTCGCTGTGTACAGGAGTGGTCAAAAAACAAAGCCGAATGCCCACTATGTAAGCAGCCCTTTGATTCTATTTTTCATTCTGTGAGGGCAGAAGATGACTTCAAGGAGTATGTCCTAAGACCGTCATACAATGGCTCTTTTGCTACTCCTGATGTCCGACGATTCCGCTATCGCACAACTATGACAAGGGAACGAAGTGCTTCTGTTTATTCACCTAGTAGTACTGTGAATAGAAGAACAACAACTCCACCAGACAGTGGAGTACTATTTGAAGGGTTAAGCATTTCAGCAAGACCTAGAGATGGTGAAATTCCTCCATTTATGAGACAGATTTCAATAAGAAGGCCAGCTACTTCAGATGAGAGATCTTTGCGGAAAATTCAAGAACAGGATATCATTAATTTTAGGCGAACTCTCTATCGTGCTGGTGCTCGAGTTAGAAATATTGAAGATGGTGGTCGCTACAGGGACATTTCAGCTGAATTTTTCCGTAGAAATCCAGCTTGCCTTCACAGATTAGTCCCCTGGTTAAAACGTGAACTCACAGTTCTCTTTGGAGCTCATGGATCTTTAGTGAATATCGTCCAGCACATCATCATGAGTAATGTAACTCGCTATGACTTGGAGAGTCAGGCATTTGTGTCTGATTTGAGGCCGTTTTTGCTTAATCGGACTGAGCATTTTATACATGAATTTATCAGTTTTGCTCGCTCTCCATTTAACATGGCAGCCTTTGATCAGCATGCTAATTACGATTGCCCTGCTCCTTCATATGAAGAAGGTAGCCATTCTGATTCTTCAGTCATAACAATATCTCCAGATGAAGCTGAGACCCAAGAGCTGGATGTTAATGTAGCCACTGTTAGTCAAGCACCATGGGATGATGAAACTCCAGGACCTTCTTACTCAAGCTCAGAGCAGGTGCATGCTGCCATGTCTTCCCTTTTAAATACTTCAGACAGTTCAGATGAAGAACTTGTAACAGGAAGAGCTACATCTCAGATACAAGGAGTACAGACCAATGAGGACCTAAATAATGACAGTGATTCTTCTTCAGATAACTGTGTCATTGTTGGATTTGTTAAACCTCTAGCTGAGAGGACCCCAGAGCTTGTTGAACTGTCCTCTGATTCTGAGGTGGAGTTAGGTTCGTATGAGAAAATGGAGACCATGAAGACACAAGAACAAGAGCAGTCTTACAGTTCTGGTGATAGTGATGTTAGTAGATGTTCGTCTCCACGCTCTGTCATTGGAAAGGATGAACAAATAAATAAAGGACATTGTGATTCTGGTACAAAAATCAGCTCAAAGAAGGAAGAGCAACGATCTATATCATTGTCCTCTCTCAGAGACCTGAGCTCATCCCTCAGAGGAGACAGAGTATATTCCCCATATACCCGCAGACACAGAAAGAGGGGAAGATCGAGGAGTTCAGATTCACATTCCCAGAGTAGGAGTGGGCATGATCAGAAGAATCGTAGAAAGCATCATGGGAAGAAAAGAATGAAAGGCAAGCGATCCAGAAGCAGGGAGAGTAGTAGACTTAGAGGTAGAAGAGACAAGAAGAGATCAAGAACCAGAGATAGCAGTTGGTCAAGAAGAAGCCAAACTCTGTCTCTAAGTAGTGAAAGTTCTAGCAGATCAAGATCTCGTAGCAGTGATCGTGGTAAAAGAAGATCACGGAGTAGAAATCGAGATCGTTACTATTTGAGAAATAATTATGGCAGCAGATATAAGTGGGAGTATACTTACTATAGTAGAAACAAGGACAGGGATGGCTACGAGTCATCTTACAGGAGGAGGACTCTGTCCAGAGCTCACTATTCCAGACAATCGTCAAGTCCAGAACTTAGAATTCAGTCCTTTTCTGAGAGAACAAACGCTCGGAAGAAAAATAATCACAGTGAAAGGAAATACTACTACTATGAAAGGCATAGATCAAGGAGCCTGTCTAGTAGTAGATCAAAGACTGCATCTACAGGGCCTGACCGGGGGAGAAATGAAAAGCCTGGTGGGAAACGAAAGTACAAAACGCGGCATTTGGAGGGTACTAGTGATGTTGCTCAACCATCGCATGAATTTGCTTCTAAAGTAAAGGAAGGTCACTATTCAAAATCTTCATCAAAATTGGATGGAAGCTACAAAAATGAGAGTGACAGCTTTTCAGATAGCCGGTCATCAGAAAGAGAGACAAAGCACAAGAGGAGAAAGAGGAGGACCCGCAGCCTGAGCGTAGAGATAGTTTATGAAGGGAAAGCTACCGATACAACCAGACACCATAAAAAGAAAAAGAAGAAACATAAGAGGAAACACAAGAAACACCATGGCGATAATGCTTCACGTTCCCCAGTTGTGATTACCATTGACAGTGACAGTGATAAAGACTCTGAAGTAAAGGAGAATATAGAATGTGACCGTAGTGGTCCTCAAGACCCCCTCCAAAGTGAATTTTTGGCTCCGTTTGAATCTAAAGATGTAGTTACAATAGAAGATGAATTTGGTGTCCTGAGCAAGGAGTGTGATATTACCATACTTAATAGCAACTTGAATAATGCCAATAAAACTGTGGATAATATATCACCCCAGGCAGCTTCAATTGAACAAACTCTTGATGTAAGAGACGAGAGCACCTTTGCCTCTGATTTGGAGAACCAGCCCAGTAATGTCTCTTTTCAGACTGAGCCATCAAGGACATCATCGTTAATGTCAGTGTCTCTTGGTAGAGACCATGATGTGTCTTAAAACTGCCAAAGCATCTCTTTGAGAATTCTGATGGTATAAAAAGAGAAGAAAACAGTGTCATCTACTGCAGTCTGTTTAAAGATGACACTTGGTGAAAACTGTTTTCCCCCTTAAAGATATTTTGTGAGTTTTTTGTTTTTTTTGGTGTTAAAAAAAAATTTGTAAAAATTATTTGTTCAAAAAGATGTATGTTCCACCTTGAGAGAGATGCACTTTTAAGTGAAGAAAATGATATTGCTAGCAGTTTATTTAAAACTTGGGATCCTTTTTAAATAATAAAAATTTTAGAAGTTATTTCGTAAAGCCATATGGTATTGACATATTTTTAAAGTAGCCAATGAGTATTTTTGAATTTCTTTTTGAGAGTTATTCTGGAAATGTGTTATAAGCTAGAAGAATCCCTTTGGACAGTCTTTATTTTTCTTCTGAAAAATTTGTATGATTCAAAACCATTTCTTCAGGTTAAATTGAGGCATTTTAATCTGCACAGCTTATCTTGACATCTGCCAAAAGAAAAATTTAAATATTTCCTTTATATACTTGTTTATCTGGACTGCCAGTAAAGCAAATGTGTATTCAACAAAAGAAAAAAATAAAACAGTTACACTTTAAAACAATCCATAAATTTTTTTTTTAATGCAGTATTTTTTTAAATCATTATTGTGGAGCTAAAGTCCTGTAAATTGTTAAGGCTATCCTTGTGTTATAAATAGTGAATTTCACAGTTTCAGTGCGAACTGCATTTAACCTTAGACAGTTTTAATGATTATTTTAGTTCTTTAATCTGATTATGAAGAGTATCTTTCTTGTTTTCTGTCTTCAGCAAAATGCAGTTACAGCTTACTAAAAACAAAACAAAACCCTTGCCTGTCTTCTTTTACTTAAATAGCTCTTTTACACAAAAGGTCTGTGTTTGTTTTCTTCTGTTTCAGAGGTGATAAAAACTGCTAGATATTGGTAGCCTGATGTAGGATTGATTGTCAGTGAACAGTGGAACTTCGATTAGGTCTAAATTAGGCGTCACTTTGCCTGGCTGCGATGTTCGTTCATTGTTCAGCAGAAATTAGAATGCCTGCTGTGTGACAGATTCTGTTTTAGGTTTTTAGAGATTCAGTGACAGAACAAAGCAGGTATGTTCCCTGTCCTCATGGGACATGTATGTAAATGTATTTATACACATTACAGACTGTAAGTTCTCTCGAGATAAAGTATAGTTTCCCAAAAGAGCATACAGTGGGGGCCTAGTCTTAGGTGGAGTGACAGTCGAGACAGGTAGCCACTAAGCAGGAGTGGAGTTACTAGTAAAGGAGATGCACAGAGACCCAGGGATGGAAGAGGCTCTGGTATGTTCCGGGGACTAAAGGCAGGTTTTGTTAAGGGACAAGAGTGTGGGCCCAAGCTTTGCAGGCTGTGCTTAGAGTTTGTGTTTATCCTATGGGCAGTAGGAAACTGATTTAAAGTGACAAAAATCTAAAGTTGATACAATTTTGGTAAGCTCAGACATTGAGAAGTTGTGGGATGATTATAGTTAATCAAGAAATACACTTTGAAATTATGAAATGACTAGTTTTTCTTAAGTATGTAAGAGTGCTTAAAGATGTAAGAGTGCTGTTTTATTGCACATTCTGCTTTTGCATGGTATTTTATTGAAAAAGCTCAAAGCACTAGTGGAAAGCCATCTTCATACATGGCACCATTACATCATCCTCCTAGGTGTTCGGGCCTCAAATTTCCAAGTCTTTGATTCTTTTTTCTCCTTCAGCCTTTTCATCCAATCAATAAATCCTGGTTACTAGATATTTTTCTAATATTTCTAATGTGTCTGTACCATCATCCAGTCTAGACAGCCATGATCTCTTGTGCTATCATAATGGGTCTGCCTGCATCCACTATTTGCCTCCATCCATTCTTGATATAGCTTTCAAAAGACCTTTACAAACGTTTTTTATGCTTTCATTCTACTTAAAATCCTTCAGTAGCTTCCTGTTATTCTTAGGATATTTATGAAAAGGAAACGAAAGTCCAAAATAATACGAATTACAAACATCTGCTTAATTAGAGACTAGTCCATCTTCAGCTTTTCTCACTTCATTTGTGCCTTGGCCTCACTGACATGCTTTGGGTCTGTGTGTGTGCTGCTCCCCACTAATTCACAGCCTTCATGCATAGCATTTTTCTTCTACTGGAAACTAAACTCTGTAGCTAAACTAGATTAGTGTTAAAGTGTGCCCTCCCACTCCATTCCTGTCAATCATTTGCTCTTTAACAACCGTGGATTCCTTTAGAGCATGCATCACTGGTTGCAGTTGATTACTAATGTTTTCTTTCTCACTGCTTCTCTTGTGGCTCAGCTCGTAAAGAATCCGCCTGCAGTGCAGGAGACCTGGGTTCGATCCGTGGGTTGGGAAAATGGAGAAGGGAAAGGCTACCCATTCCAGTATTCTGGCCTGGAGAATCCCACGGACTGTATAGTCCATGGGGTTGCCAAGACTCAGACATGACTGAGTGACTTTGACTTTCTTTTCTCTCACCAGTCTGAAAGTTCTTTGGCAACTGTGTGTTCTGCTGTATCCCTTCTCTTTCACATTGGAGTTGCTTAAAACCCTTACTGGGTGGAAGTATAGTGCTAGATATTTTAAAAATTGCCTGAGACCTGCTTTCATGAAGCTACATAATAAACTTTCAACCAAACACTACATTCACTTAGCTTATCCATTCAAATCTATTGTCAATGAGTCATTTTCTTTTACCTCAGGATTTCAGTTTTTGTGACTAATTTGTGTAAAGGAAATGCAAGCGTTTGTGCTTGTATTGATCCTCTGATAAACAGGAAAACTCACTGTTCTTGGTCTAAATAGTTAAATTCAGCCTTAGCTCTTGGGGAAGGTAATCCAAGAGTGTTCCTAACCCATCTAGTCTGTAATAACAATGGGTGGTGTGTACAAAGGGGCAAGGCTTTATGCAAGGCCAGTTGATGGCCTCTCCTTATTGGGAATTATTCTTCCATTATGGAGAATAATTTCCGTCCCCTCTAACGTAGGCTGTGGACACTTGAGCTAGCTGGTAATGGGTCTCTGGACTTGGAAAGTTTTCTCAGAAGGTGCTTTTGGGTGCTGAAAGCCACCACCACCCATTGTCCCTGTCAGTGGGGTCAGGGGATGAGAAATGGGAAGGGGTTCCTCACAAAAATCCGATTGCATCGGTATTCAGAGCATGGATCTATTTCTAACATTAAGCTCAGTAGACCTTTGTACTACCAAAATGGTGGCTGATTAATTACTATGATAATGTAGACCAGAATTTGTATAGGTCTGTCTGGTGATTGGTGCCTTTAGGAAAACCCACTTGGGTATCTGAATCATAATCATTATGTAACCTACCCTCAAATGGTTCAGAAAAATACATAGTTGGAGAGAAATAACAATAAATTGTGACAAAATTTTAAAATTGGTGAAGGAGGGTAAAATACAGGAATTCTCTACTTTTGTAATTTTTATGTAAGGATGAAATAGTTTCAAAACAAAAGTGCCTCCAGCCCTTCAGGGTTGCCTGCATATGAGAATACATTTACCAGCCTTGAATATTTTCCAAAAGGGGGCAAAAATAACAAAGGAAATGTGACTATTAAAGCCACTTTTTTTCAGGAAAATAGAAGTCACTAGACAGTTTATAAGGCTAGACGTGTTGAAGATGAGGGTCTTGTCTGAGATACACAGTTAACTACTCTTGGTTCCATGCTCAGAAGCAAGCTGGTGAGGGTATAAAACCAAAGGAGAGTTTGCTTAATGTTTAAAATTTTGAATGGGAGGGAGACAAGATTTTGGGGAAGGAGCTCCTAGAAGGAATTGGCAACCCACTCCAATATTCTTGCCTGGAAAATTCCATGGACAGAACCTGGCAGCTTACAGTCCATGGAGTCACAAAGAGTCAGACACAACTGGGCGTGTGCACACATACTCCTGGAATAGGAGAAGTTGGAAATAAAGGAGGGTAACTGGAGGAGAAAAATGCAGAGAGGGGTGGTTGCAGAGCTCAGGTACATGAACTAGTAACAGCAGCAGAGGCGAATCTACCACAGTGGCAGAAGGAAGTTAAAAATGCACAAAGACATTGGTGGGTAGATGGTTATGATGAAGTAGTTCATTATCTAAAGCCTCTCTTCTCCATGAAGTAGGAAGCAGTGCCATCCTCTGAGAAAGATGGATGGTCACTAGGATTGGGCTTGAGGAGAGGAGTGGAAAAATGCTTCTTCAGGGGTGTGAAGGGGTTAGCCACAAATTGCTGGTGAATGTTGAGGCCTCATGGTGATAATGGAGTATTTATGGGGCCCTGATACTTGTGATTTTGCTCTGGTAGCATTCAACTGTGGAAATAGAAGCAGAAACTAAAGTTGGATGTGGAGTATGCATTCAGTATTTACACAGCAAATGAACAAATGGATGGATTTATCTATGGTTAAAGTATCGGCTGAATGTAAGTAGCAAAAGAAAGGGTGGGCTAGGGAGCTGAGTGAGATAAGTGTAGTTAAATTGGTGTATTCTGGCATCTGGGCTGGGTAGGGAAGGAAGTGAAGCTATGAGATGACTGTTAGAGAGCAGTGATGGTCAAGGGATTCGTTTTACAGTGAGGTTCAAGTATGTATATGTGGGGGTATGCCTTCTTCAGAAGACTGAAAAATGTTTCAGAGAATACCTAATTCTAGCCATGATTGAAAGTAACCAACGTGACTGGAGGTGAAGTCACATTTGAGGACAATGATCTGTGAGGCTAAGTACTGTCTACATGGAAGAACACTCTGGGTGATGCTGGGACATAACAGGATGGAGAAGAAAACGGTAATTGTGTCATGGGTATTACATCTTGTCCTTTAAACTACACTCATTTCTGCTGCAGCAGCTGACTCATGCACCGAAGGTAACCAAAGCTTGGGAGATGATTAATTTCCTCATTTTGAGTTTTCAGTCAATAACTGAATCTTTTAGGTGTTGGGAAACAGTAAG